GTGAAGAAATTATCGCTTGCATAGAGGCTTTATTCTCAGTTTTACGGTAGTCGAGCCTTTTCCATTCGCGACATCTGTGGTGGAGGTGGGTACCTTTCTACGTCCTTTTCTCGTACGTTCCCGTGGAGCCGTCAAACCAGATTGATTAAAAGCCCCGAAGAGCTTTCTTTTGTGGAGCCAGACGGAGTCCAAACAAGCCGCCTTACTCAAGGTCAGCCGCCGGAATTTGGTTTATTGGGGAAAACCCCAAGGAACAAATCAACCAACCCGAAGTGTTTTTCCTAGGGCAAGCCGACCAAGACCCTTGTTGCTGCATACCCCTTTGTGTTCTACCCGTCGCCCCCCGTACTCCGACGCCTTTCCACGGCAACGTCTATGAGGACATCGACGACAGGACGCAGCAGTACGAGCGAGTTGCCCGTCACAATGGGCGGACGCCGGTGCAATGCTTGCAGAACGTCTACTTTTCTCTCAAGAAAACTGCACGCATCCTGTATGAAAACTACGAGGCGAAGATCACCACCTGGGAAACAGGCAAGGATGAGCTCCGCCGATCCGTTTCTACCCAGTAGCGACGAGAGCGCACTGAGGAGCTGCTTTAGGCAATGGTTCGAGAGCATCGTCATCTTCGTCGAGGACCTGGTTGGACTCAGCAGCCCAGCGGATTATGATTCTCCCGAAACTAAAAAAAACTGAGGATTCTCACGAAGGGGGGGGGGGGGGGGGGGGACAAAGAAAGAAATCTTTGGGGTTCTTGTGGGCATTCCACCTGCGAGCGTTGAACAATTCGTGACGGAGGCTAAGAACATCCAGGCACGAGCCTCTCGCTGCCAGCGGCTACCTGGCGTCACTGCATTCTCGTCGTCCAGCTGCGACCTTGGCTTCAGTACTTCGGACATACTCGAGATCATCCGGGACGTGGTCTGAGAGGAGCTCCTGAAGCTGCTTTCCGCCACTGAGCGTCCGGTCTCGCGTTCAGTGGGCACGATCGTGCGCGACGAGGTCCAGCCGGCCATGCAGCCGGAAGCTCCCGTCAGCGTGGCCGCCCCGGAGGAGCCGTTGTTGACCTACGCAGCCATAACCAGACGACCACCACCAGCTGTCCGCCAGTACCCGGCGCCTTCTCGACGAGACATTCCTGTACCCCAGTACGCTCGACGCCAGGAGGTACGACCCCAGTACGTCCGCGAACAGTCGGTGCCAAGGAAAACGGACGTCTGGAGAACGGCTGACCGAAGCCCGCTCTGCTACCGCTGCGGGGAAGCCTATCACATTTATCGCCGATGCCCCGACCGCCAACTTTGGCTGCGCGGGTTCCAGCCAAAGGACCAGCGTCCCATCATAATGAGAAACAGCGCAACAGGAACAGGACACTAAGTAGAATTACACAGGACATACGCTGACTAACAACCAAATGTTTACTATAACTTCCACGCCCGCACAGTGGCCCGCACAAGCACAAGCTTTTCTTTCTTAGAAAAGATAAATGCTAATAAAGAAAGAAACAGCGGCACTAGAAGGAAGCTTGGCTTGTGCGGGCCACTGTGCGCGCGTGGAAGTTAGAGTAAACATTTGGTTGTTAGTCAGCGTTTGTCCTGTGTCCTTCTCCTACTTTGTGTCCTGTCCCTGTTGCGCTGTTTCTCACAATGTCGTGCAACCAACCAGCCCAGCAAGGTATCTTGTTTCCAGCGTCCCCAATAAGATGAGCGCCCACTTGAAATTGGTGAGTTTCTTCGCCGTCCACCGTCTAATGCGCCTGCTTCGCCTTGAGAACCTCCATCGCCTTCACCGCGACGCTTTGCATCACCTCTTCGTAAGTCCCGCCTGGAAAGCCTGTCTCCACTGCTTCGCCGGGAAAACTAAGTGCGGCGATGCCGGGAGGTGGTATTGCCGAGGATGAGCGACGTAAGAATCCTCCACGAACGTTCGGAGGACTCCCTAACTACAAACAAACTGCATTGAAAAGACGCTTTCATGAAGGCGCCAAATAACCTCAACGTGTTATATCGACGGACACCACGCGACGGCGATCATCAACACCGGAGCAGACTATTCCGTTATGAGTGGGAAGATCTCTCGCCATCTTCGAAAAGTGATGACGCCGTGGGATGGCACACGAATTAAAACCGACGGAGGACACCCCATCACGCCAATAGGGAGGTGCACGGCTCGCGTGGAGATCCACGGTGAGACGTGCACACTAAGATTTGTTGTCTTCAATGACTGTGCGAGGAACGGCATTCTCGCAATGAACTTTGTCTGAATACGGCACCGTCATCGACCTGGGAGCAAACAAGTTGACGCCCGGAAACTTCTCTTAACGCCAGATGGTCCCGAAATGACGTCAGCCGCTGTCCGGATCCTCTCCGACCACGTCAACCCTCCGCCGCGTTAAAGGGACCACGAAGGCAGTTTTGAAGTTTTATTCGACGATTGAAATGGATGTCAGACACGTCTCAGATACTGTTGACCAAGTTCTAGCCCGAACAGAAGTTTGGGTGCCGCGCCAATCGAGCAAACAGGCGCAGTAATAATAGCGCCGGGAACGATGCCTGAGACCCCACCGAGGCGGCGGCAGAAAGGTGAACTAAAGTGCGCAGAAGCCTTACGACAACGGGCACCTCATCTGGCGATATGTTCAAACGATAGACGCGCTCTTGGTTTCGATTTCGGTGGTGAGATGTGATGAAAAATTTTTATTTGAACGTTGGATAATCTTTTGAAGTTGTGGTTGGGAATTAATAGGTTTCATACCGTGTATAAAAGCATAATCTGAAGCGATCCCTCCGTTTGTCACTGGTTGAACGCATCCCGCACTGCTACCTCGGGCGCGTAAAAAGCATCGAGCAACCATGGACAAAAAAAAAAAAAAAAAAAAGAAAAAAGTACGAGCGCCGGGGGCGGCGGACTTTTGGTTTTGGTTTCGTGCGTCGTCTCGTGTTCGCTTTGCGAACTGGTGTCTCACCAATCATGCCGCGTTTATGTGCAGTAGTAGGTTGCGCGAAAGGTCGGCTAAAGACGTGCGGTCGATCGGGCGACGTTAGTTTGCATAAACTGTCGACCGATGCAGCAATGTGCAGCGTTTGGTTGCGCGCCGGCGTCTTGCGTAGAGTTTTGGACAGCGGTGTCAGGATTTGTTCATTGCATTTCCGACCAGAAGACTTTGAGCAGCACCTTCACGTCAGCCGGAGTCTGGGTAAAAGTGGGGCGGGGAGTCGCTCTGGAGGCGGCGACCGAGGAGTTGGTGGTAGGTCTAGGGCGCCCTCGTAAAGCGCCAATCCAGAGTTCTGCGTCCTTAGCAGCATCTCCCGTTCAGTCGGCATGAGGTCGCTGAACGGGAGCTCAAACTCGTTTGCGTGCGCGGCGTTGTCGTCCAATTCTTCCAGGTTTTTTTCACAGACCGCCGTGCACTAGAGCGAACCACGGGAACCACACTGAGTGTGCACTAAATCCTACCAATATCGACAGTGCTCCCTGACGTCACTTCTCTTTCCAGAGGCGAAAAAGGGAAGAAATCGGAATGTTTGTTTCGGTTTCGCAAATTTATTTGCAGGTACAGAAATAAGAGTCACAATGGTCTAGAAAAAATTTTGTGGCATGCCAGGACCCCAATGCTTCCGAAAACACCTTTTTAAAAAAAAAAAAAAAAATTAAATTGCCTTCCTCGTTTTTTTAAGCGTTTTCGCAGTTCAGACGATTCCGCAGTTCACGCTGAGCAGTCATTTGGTCTAGACTTGTGTTAATTTTTTTAAGGTCGCATCGGGACATTGCACTTCTAAGGGGGGGGGGGGGGATAATGCTGTGTGCATGACCGAGGAGGAACGCTTCTTCGAACATTTAGAAGATTCCAGTTTCCTCTTACCCCGAGAATCGAAAACAGGGAAGCCAACAGAACCTTGCCGAGTCAGTCTCGGCTTAACCTATTCTCGAACATTCTAGGTAAATACTCGAGATACCGAAGATAAGGAGCCGAGTGTGGCCTTGCTGACTCACTCACTCTCACAGGTATCGGAGCTCTAGTCAGTTGCCACGCCGACGCTGCGACACTCACTTCTGCTGTTTACCGACGACGCTCATAATCTCTTTTGTTTCTGGAACAAGTTCCCCAATTAAAACTTTGTTTTCCGTTTTACGCTGGTCGAGCATTCTTCATCCGCGACAATATTCCTATACGCGTTTTTGCATCCCCACTGTCGTGACTGCTGCACGAGTTATGGCGCACTTCCGTGCTTCAAACGGACCTCAAGGTTTGCTAAAATTGATTCATTTAGGGATTTTAGATGATGCTAGGCAAGTTTATACGTGAAATCTTATGTTTTTTTTTACATATTTAAAAGTTCATGAGTAAATTTTAGTAAATTATTTTGCTAATAATTCATGTACTTGCAATACCTGACCTCCCCTGCAACTGACATGTAGCTTGGTCCAGAAAAGATTTTTTTCTTTCTTCTTAACCACCCTATTTATAAGAATTTTGAGTCTTCGCTGAAACACACGATACGTAAATCAGAGTCATGCGCCACGAAACCGCAAAACGCCCATGGCAAACCTATCCTTTTTCACTTTTGACAGCAAACTTTCTCATGCTGAGAATATACGAGTGTATACGGTGGCGCTGCTGTCGGCTCACGGACTCAAAAAGTGTTTTTTGTCAAATAAATTCTACGGGCACCTACAATCAGATTTTTGTTTTCGTTTGACAAATATTAGGCATAGTTGGGCGTAGGCTCACGCAAAAATGCGCTTTATTATTTTATATTTGATCTAGGTAACCTTATGTTCTCAAACGCTTGCGTTCTATTAGAACCCCTAACGTCACAGTCAAACGGAGTTACAACTTTTTGCGATACGTTACTTTATTTATATGGGTCGAAAAACAGGGTTTCATTATCTCGCTTGTAACCCGTTGATTTCACTTGCCCTGCGTACGAAATTTTTGCACGTATTTTACGTGCAACAATGTTTGTCAGGTCTGACCGAAACAGGCTATACTTTCTTACCAGCCAGCAACACCGTGAGAAGAAAGTGACCAAGATAGTTGGCTTGAAAGCAGGGCTCGCATCCGTCTTCTGTGAGATCAGGGTTTCGTGATTCTGCAAAGGCGTTGACATTAAGTTGTAATCTCGCTACTATCTAACCACAGCAAAACAACACATTTTGTCCCAGAAGCTATATCTATAAAAAAAAAAAAAAATTGCGTTAATCGCTGAACCGTCCCCCAGCAAAACTGCAGACTGGCCGCACTCACAAATTCCGGTGTACGCCAAATACATTTTTGACATCATGATGGAGATGTAGCGTTCTGGAAGTATTTGCTCATATATGGAACGTTGCGTGTAACCTATTTATTTATATATTTACGTGTATTAGCTACTCTAGCAGAGTTGAAGGCACCTAGCGGATAAAACAGAAAGCAGTGGCGCCAGGTTCGCTCGCCAGCCTATTCAAGCGAATAAGATATTCACGGCGCCTGGTGGTTTGACAACGAATCGGGGAAACTACCTTCAAAAACTCGTAATAAAACTCGCCCATATCTTCCGATGTAAAGCATTATGCGCGGTTATGCGTGCAAACAAAAACTACATGCACATAAGAAGCGAAAAACGTGTTTCACGTAAGAAAATGTATCTCTGTAATATAACGTATAAACGAGCTTCCAAACTCAGATGGTTTTAACAAAAAACGACAAGTGAAAATAGTCCGTGTGGTAATCTTTTACTTTTTTTTTTAAAATAATTTCCCAACCTTGACCATACATACCGGTATGGGAAAATGCGGACACATTTTCCCATACCCGTATGTCGGTGATATGTACAATAAAGGAAGTTTAACCGTATGCACATTCTCCAAGAAGGTTCCATCCTAATCTGGTGTGGCACATTATTTGGCACAATTGTGGCAGACCAGAGAAAAGCCAAGCTTGATGTGGCCGAAATACCTGAATTAGACGCTGCTTTGGGTTAGGGTTTAAGCCTGGCACTTAATTTGGCAAAACTGTCGCGGACCAGAGAAAGGCCAAACTCTGCATGTCCAAAATACCCTAATTAGGCGTTGCTTTGGCAGTTATGGCTCAAGTCTGGCACTTACTTTGGCACAACTGTCGCGGACCAGAGAAAAGCCAAACTTGGTGTGGCCGAAATACCCCGATTCGGCGTTGCTTTGGCAGTTATGGCTCAAGTACGGCACCAACTTTGGCGCTTCTCTGGCGTAAAAGAGAAGAGTCAAACTTTGGCATGCCCTAGGTCACCCAACTGAGGCTATAGTTAGGCACCGTACTTTGGCACTGGTGATTGCCATGGTGCAAAACCTATCTGCGCCAAAGTTGGGCCCTTATGCTTGCCAGACCTTTGCCCAAGTTGGGCATTCCTCTGGCCTGCTACCTGGATGCCAAACCAATCCAAACGAAACCAAACCAAGGACGGCTGCATGTATCAAGATAATGAATGCTGACGGAATATTATAAAGGCCGAGATGACTGAAAAACAATACCGGCCGATGGTTCCTTAAATCGCCGCCTACTCTGGCAAGCACGGTCGATCAACAAAACGGGAAGCAACTTGAGTGAGAAACCAAACTCGCCTTCCACGGCCTCTGCTCATTAAAAAGCATACGACTGACGGACACCAGTGACAGCAGAAGTTATGGTGAGATTTCAAACCGGAAGTACCTCATGTGAAACCGCCCTACCTAATATTACCACCCTCCTCCTCCTCCCCCCTAGAAAAAAAGTTTTTTGGTCGATGCACATGTTTACTATCCTGCATAAACTTCTGTAGAAGTAGTACGTGTGGTTGGCACAAGAATAGAAGGGGGAGTGATATATGTAGTAATCGTTTATTTGTGTACAAATATGCGAGGTATGCCCAGCGAGGCGATGCTCTAATCACTGCGACGTTGTCTTGTAACCTGTCGGAAGGCGCGTTTGTGTTTCACCGCCGCTCTTGTCAGCAGGCGACAGTTCAACGCACCCACTGTCGTCAGCTTGCATTTACAGTTTCTTTCGTAATTATTCCAGGTTAAGGAAGTTTAGTAGAAATGTGCGGAGCATAAACAACGACATAATAAATTTCTTTCAAATTAAATAAAGGGTTCAGAAGTTCACTGTTTTGGGGTAGTTTTCCCGCCGCACGACTCACGCGAAGACAAACCAACGGTTTGCGAGAAACCATAGAAAAAATGATAGATGTTTACAAATCTCTGTAATGCGAAATTAAAGTGCAGCTCTTGAGGAGGAGGGGAGGGTACAGAGGGAAGGGTATGCCCCTTTCCTCTTTCCACAGTTTCCCCGCTAAATGTAACTGAGAAATTGAAGCCACGTGACCTAAACACCAATTAAATTTCCCCCTAAATTTAGCGTGGAAACTGAACTGGTGCGTAGGTCTGTGGCGTCCCATAATGCAAGACTGGGCATTCAGTTTCCCCGCTAAATTTAGCAGGGAAACTGTGACGTCCCACTGTGCAGCGCGCGCGGTTACGCCGACTCCGCTCAACTTGGACACGGGCACCTAAGAGCTGCACTCTAAGACACAAATGAAGCAGTTTGTAAGCGTGATGACCTGTAGTATGATGAGCGTGATGACTTGTGTGAGTATGAGGACCGTGAGGAGCTGTGAGTGTGAGGGCCGTGTGGAGCTGTGAGTGTGATAAGCATGATGACCTGTGAGAGTGAGGACCGTGAGAACCTGTGAGCGTGAGGGCCGTAAGGACCTGTGAGTGTGATGAGCATGATGACCTGTGAGTGTAAGGACCGTGAGGAGCTGTGAGGGTGAGGGCCCTGAGGACCGTGATGACGTGTGAGTGTGATGAGCGTGATGACATGTGAGTGTAAGGACCGTGAGGACCTGTGAGTGTGAGAACTGGTCTTTGATCGTGAGGACCATGATGACCTGTGAGTCTGATGAGCTGTGAGTCTGATGATTCGTGATGACCTCTGAGGGCCGGTTGCACCAACGTCGCTTAGCGCAAAGCGGAGCTTAGCCGGGAACTTAAGCTTAGTTTCGGTTTCGTTCGGTTGCACCAAACTCGCTTATCGCTAAACCTAGCACTAAACTACGCTTAACTTAAGCGCCCAACATTGGGCGCTTTGCTTCTGGTTGTTTCTTAATCCTGGATTAAAAACATGGCGGCTGGTTTGTCGCGGTCGACGCGGTGGACGAAATTGGTTGTGCAAAGTGTTTTAGGCTACATCAACGTGAAAGTCTCGACAAAATGACCTTCGATTGTGACAAGGATGCAAAATATTGTCGTGTGAAGTGTTTATCGACCCCTGTTTTCAAGTTGGCTCTCCACTTTCAGGGCGTGTTAGCCCTAACCGAGAAACGTACGGAGCTGTGGGGCTCACGTCTGTATTCCCGTTGGTTCTTCTGTCAACGAGCTTATTCGTATGTACTTACTTATTTCTGCATAGCTGTAACGTAGTGTTATTTACCACCTTGTTTATTTACACTTGCAGCGCGTATCCTTCAATCTGATCAGCGCGTTGAATAGTGGCAGTACATGATCTCGGCGATCAGCTGATTGTCGACACCTCTGCCGTTTGCATTAGATTGCGGCGCTTTTAAGTAATAAAACAGCGAAAATTCAATTTCTTTCGTTTTCTGAGTTTTGAGACGATCTTCAGTGAATTTTCCTTATCTCGCGAGTAGAATCTTGGCTTCAGAAAACTGTATCGTTCCATAACTGTAACTTTTTTGGTGATCGCATTTTTTTTTTATATACTTTGCTTTATATCTTTCATTCGTTTCCCCAGAACGAGATACTGTTGTTTCCGAGTTGTGCTCTGTGATGGTGTTTTCCCTTTACTTTTGTCGTTTGTTGTCATTGTGACGATGGTTGAGACTATATACCGGAACACGTTTTCAATAAAATTCAGTTGAAAGTTGCGCCTTGTTGTGTCCTCCGTAACTTTTTTGGTGATCGCGATTTTTTAGGAATATTTTGCTTTATATCTTTCATTCGTGGCGACGACAAATCGTAACGACTACTATGTTAGATTCGGTCATTGCTGTATCGGGGCAGGCTGGGGCAGGTGATGCGAAGAGACGACCATTCTTATCGGCACGATGTGATGTACTAGTGGGAGTTTTTTTTTTTTTTTTTTTTTCTGAACTCGACAGTGTGAAACTGAAGTCCGTTTGAGGCTGCAGCGGATGTTCAACGACGGTACAGTGCAGTTCTGTCACCTTGCTGATAGCAACGAGTACCGTCGATGCAAGGTCTCGTGACCTGACCTCTCGACGACTTCTATTCGACGATTTCCGGGCATTTTCGCAGCTGCCGTGGCGAGTTCGTCACTGTTTTGAACTTCATCGGTCTCAGGCTTGACTTGGTTTTAGTAGTCATCTTACCTGCCTACTTATATCCATGATGTTTTGTCTTCAGCGATGTAGTCAGTAGAGTGTCCTTCTCGCGTTCGGTGAGTTTTGGGGCCCCCGATGGCTCCTTCGCCTCAAAATGTGAGCACGAAAACTACTACCACTGTCAAAATATCCTGTTATCAACCGATATTAAACACACAATCACAGATGTAAAGAGCATTCGTGTTTATTTGAAGCTTTGACTTCTGTTATTGAAAGTTAAACGGAAAAATGATTGAATTTGGAGACCTTTAAGTTGTTACTCACCGAAGAAATACAGCGAAAAGCAGACGCCGACGACGACTACTACGGCAGTTTTTTTTTTGTTTTTTTTACATCACGTGATTTCTTTTCGCCAATCGTATTCGTCGCTCTGAGCGTTCCCTAGTTTGCTTTGTTTGTCCCTAGATTCCCTACGCAAATCCAGCGCTTAGCTAGGGGCGCGTCTGTAAAGCCGGCTTAACGTTGGTGCAACCGGAATTTAAACCCGTGCTTACCTAAGCTCGGTTTAGGGCGCTAAGCCGGCTTAGGAAAGCGCCGCTTTGGGTTAAGATAAGCGACGTTGGTGCAACCGGCCCTGAGTGTGTCGACCGTGATGATCTGAGCGTTACGACCTGATGACGGCGAGTGAGTTTTGGTTTTGTGTTCAACAGGGAGGGAAAGTCCGAATGAGGACCCTGTTTTTTTAATATATCGTTACCGTGAGTGGGCGTGAATTCTGATTGAGGAAAAAGAAGTGATCGTCAGTTTGAGTTTGTACAGCTTAAAATGTCGACCTATGGCTTGCACCACGTCAACTTAAAGAGGCTGTAAAGATATCTAGGATTTTTCGGCAAAGGCTTAGTTGGTCCTCTCTGAACAAAGCACTGCACGACATAGTGTCAAGAGTGCCGTCCTTAAACACATTAAACTCCTCCGAATCTCTCATTACCCTGTTAATCGGGGCTATTTTTAAAATTTCACCCCATATATTTTTCCCACTTCCCAAGCCAAGGTAGTGGCTTGCCTCTGGAAAAGACCTAATCTCTTCTCGTTTTCCTTTTTTCCCACTCCTTACGGCAGCAAAGAAAACTTACGGTTGTTCATGTATTTCGTAGAAATTGCGTGGCCTTTTCTAAAAACCAGAACAATTTGAGAGCGTCCACTGAACCAACCACCTACCGTTAGTCATGCCGGCGTTGTTGATCAGAACATCAAGTCTGGGCTCCGTGTTGATAATGTCATTCGCAAACTCCCTAACAGACTTGAAAGACTGGAGGTCCAACAGCTTAATGGTGACTTGCTGTTCGGTGTCCTCGAAGATTTCAGGAGCCGCCTTTCGGGCCTTCTCTATATTTCTGCAGGCAATAATCACACGGGCCTTCCGACGGGCCAGTTCTTTCGCCGTCTCCTTGCCGATTCCTGGTCAATCAATCAATCAATCAATCAATCAATCAATCAATCAATCAATCAATCAATCAATCAATCAATCAATCAATAAATAAATAAATAAATAAATAAATAAATATGCAATCTATCTACCTACCAATTTATTAATTTATCAATAAATCAATCAATCAATCAATTCGTTTATATATTGTAGTTAAATACTGATAATAAGACATTATTGAATGAGTAAAACAATAATTAATAATCATTTATAATCGCTCGTTAGATTGAGTAGCTGATTCTTTGATTGAGTGACTGAACACTTGACTAATTATAAATTAATCGATCAAAGAATTGAATATTTCAATTAAACAATCATATTGATGAATTTAATATTATTAACAGATTGATGCACTTATTCTATATAAAAACATTTTATTGTATTTACTTAATTTACTCATTTCAACTGACTAGATGATAAATTAAATATGCTTTCATAATTGAATACAAATAAATAATAACTATTAATAATTAATTATATAAATTAATACCACAATTAAATATTAAATATTCAATTTTAATGTAGTATTGCTCATTTATTAATTGTCCCACTTAATTGCTCGATTAATTATCTATTCATTGACGATTTAGTTACTTTGTTCGTTTATAAATACTGATCATATTTTGAAGGTTGCGGCAGGAGGCGGCAGTATAAGGTGTAGTAAATGCAATATGGCAGTGCAACAAAAGCAGTATTACAATAACAAAGACGGTCATATTTTCAAGGACAGCTTTCCAGTGCTTTTAAGAATGACTTGATTAAAGACAAGCCGATATGCACTTCAACAATTAAACAAAGCGCAGGGTGGACAAAAACTATCAGGATGATTTAAATCGAACCAGTTTCACCCCGAATATTTATATCAAACCTTTCCGCTAAAAATAATAATAAAAAAGATCTTATTTAGCGTTTGTTTGTCATTTGCAAAGGTGCTACAGAGCTGGACCAGAATGATCCCTGGAGAAAGGGAACAAGGGTGAAAACGAACAAACACAAATATCAAACGGTAGCTAGGTGACTGGTTCGCGACCGGCAAAATCCGCCTGTTCCTGGGATGAACCAGGGACCTCTCCATTTCTAGTGAAGCGCTCTACCAACTAAGCCAACTAGGAGTATTTTTTTTCTTCATTACTGCATGCGAATACAAAACAAGATGTACACATCATATAGGTTAGCTCAGGCGAACATTATGCTTTAGAACACTTTGTTATTCATTGAACTAGATAGAGAGCACAGGCAGCCAGTGGGGCACTATTTCGCGAGACTCATTTGTACTTTTGATTTGGGCTACGCACTGAGTAAAATAAAAAAAAATGAAAGCCGTTTACAATTCCCTGTAACGCCGGTTAGAGCGCAGCTCTTGAGGAGGAGGATAAAAGCGCTCTGAGGGATAGGTGACTCCTTGAAATCACGTGACCTCAGGGGGGGGGGGTCGTGTGACCTCAGGGGAGTCACGTGACCCCTGAGATCACGGGAGAGGGGGTCACGTGACCTTAAGGGGTCACATGACCTCGGGGGTCACGTGACCTCGGGGGTCACGTGACCTTAGGTGGTCACGTGACCTCAGGGGGTCACGTGAACTTAGGTGGTCACGTGACCTCAGGGGGGTCACGTGATTTCAGGGGGTCACGGGACCTCAGGGGGTCACGTGACCTTGGGGGTAACGTGACCTGGGGGTCACATGAACTCAAGGGGGTCACGTGACCTCGGGGGGGTCACGTAACCTCAGGGGGGTCACGTAGCAGGGGGTCACGTGACCTGAGGGGGTCACGTGACCTCAAGGGGTCACGTGACTTCAGGGGGTCACGTGACCTCAGGGGGTCACGTCACCTCGGGGTAGGGTCACGCGACCTCGTGGTTACGCCGACGGCGACGCCGACGCCGACGCTGCTCAAGCCGGAAACGGGCCCCTAAGAGCTGCGCTCTAAAGCTAACAGGTTTTGGTTCCTGAATGGCGTTTCTTACATCCCCCCATCCGAGATTTCCTTATACTACTATGGAAACCCAAGAGAATGATGAGATCATACGACACAGTGTCTTCTGAAGAAACCGGCAGGAAACATACTGACTGCGGTGAAATGTTACGGTCTTTTTTCAACGTGCGCTGCAGGACGTCCCAGAGGAAAATGACGTCCCAGCAATCAATAAAAAAACATGTTCTATAGTTCCCGGTGTTTTGCGCAGTACACAAATCATTGTCCATGGAACGAACATCACTTTCCCCTTTAAACATACTTTGGTCGGTAGTACAGAAGGGCGGCAAGGCATGTAGTTGGGCTAGTTGGTGGTACATACTGATTTGGAGGGAACAGCGCAAAAAAGACGTAGGACGAGGTCGAAGAAACACACAGACAGGGCGCTGACTTACAACTGAAAGTTTATTGCTCTGAAGAAAAAGAAATAAACACAGAAAGGAGGAAGGGGAGAGAACAAACAAATCAAACCAATAACAGGCGGCATCACCCACGCCCACACTCCGTCACACGACCCTGCCACTTTTTTACAAAATCCACCTCGTCATTTGCAAATGACGAGGTGGATTCGGTTGCCCTTGCAAATGACGAGGTGGATTTTGAGAAATCCACCTACAATGAGAAAGCTTTTACCTTGAACAAATTCAGCGAAATCTACGTGCAGGTGGCTCCAGGGCCGTACTGGCTTTATCCGAAAGTGAACAGTTGCTTCGGAATCGCTCTTCCTGCTTTCCGTGTTGGCAATGGCATACAAAGTCCTCGATTGCTCGATCGCTTTTAGGCCACCAGATGTACGCTCTGGCCGACGTTTTCATTGCTGTCATACCTGGGCGGTTGGCATGAAGCAATTGGAGGGCCTTCCGTGTGGCTTACTCGGGAATAACCGCTCTATTTCCCAACAGGATACAATCTCGACGCAAAGAAAGTTCGATGCGTCTCACCTCGAAAGGTGCAAACGATCCTCCAGGGTTTCTCGTGGCCAACCCGAGAGTATCCATTGCATGACTCTTGCCTGCGTAGTGTCTTGCTTTGCCAGCTTTCCGATATCTGCTGCTTGCAGTGGAGGGTACTCGACGGCCTCGAGGAGGAGTGCGTCATCTGGTGGCTTTGGCTCGTCGACATCGCTTGGCGTTGAAAGGCGGTTTAACCAGTCTGCGTTGGTGTTGTCGGTTCCTGGTCGAAACCCAAGCTTGTAGTCCTATGCTTCCAGCAGCAAGCTCCACCTCTGCATCCTCCGTGACAGGATCTGAGGCATTGGTTTCTCTTTGTCAAAAATCTCAAGAAGCGGTTTATGATCGGTCACGATCGTGAATTTTCTTCTCCCGAAATGCCGGTGAAAATGTTAAACACCGTGAACAACGGCAAGCCCTTCTTTGTAGGTTTGAGCGTAATCGCGCTCACTTCGCCCAATGTCCGTGACGCATAAGCTATCCGCACTTCTGTACCATCATCGTTCTCGTGAGAAAGAACTGCACCAACACCAACCGGTGAAGAGTCACACGACAAGACCAGTGGACGCGCTGGGTCGTAGCGTACTAGCACTGCGTCAGAGCTGAGAAGCCCTTTCAGGTTCCGGTACGCTTTCTCATGCTCCTGCGCCCACGTCGATTTTCTTTCTTGGCCTAGAAGGCTATGCAATGCCTTGGCAACTTCAGCTTTTCCTTCAAGAAATCTGCTGTAAAAGTTTACTAGTCCCCCCAAAAAATGTTGTAGTTCTTTCTCGTTCTTTGGGATCGGCACGCGCTTGATCGCAGTCAATTTTTCTTCACTTGCGTGAATGCCAGTGGAATAAATTTTGTGACACAAGCACTCTATGCTTGTTTTACAGAACTCGCATTTGTCTTTGTTCACCCGCAAATGCGAGTCTTGCAACCGATGCATGACTGCTCTTAATCTTTCATCGTGCTCCGCCACGGTCGAGCCCGAAATAACGATTACCGTACATCGAAATATAGAACTCCCGGTGTACCTGATAGTAAGGTGTCTACAACACGCTGTAACAAGTAATCCTGGTGCGATCAATCACGGTGAGGACTTCTGATGACTCATTATCAAGTACGAGCTGCTGATAGGCCCGGGCTAGGTCTAGTTTCGTGATTATCTTACTTGACCCTAGGGTGGCAAAACCCTTGGTGACTGTCGGTAGCGAATAGATGTTGTTCTTAACCGCCTTGCTAACTGTGCTACGATAATCACCGCGCAGGCGCAAGGTTCTGTTTTTCTTTCTCATCACGACGAGCGGTGTGGCCCAGTCGGAGTACTGGGTCGGCTCCAGGATGCCTTGCTTCTCCAGGTGGTCTAACTCTTTGGTCACATCCCCTCGAAGGGCAAACGGCACCGGCCAACCCTTCAAAACATGGGTTGCACGTCGTTAAGCTCGATGTGGATCGGAGCTCCCTTGAATACGGGCATATCGGTGCAAAATACCTCGGAAAACTGCGCTATTAGCGCTTCGTCGGACGTCCTGACGTATCTGATGCCGTGTAACTCGATGCCTAGCGATCGAAACCAGTTTCGTTCCATCAGTCTTCTTCCGTGCTGTGCCACGACCATGATTGGCAAAACAGCCTTGCGTCCTTTAAACATGACGCTTACCTTTGCTTTGCCAACCGTAAGTAATGTTGGGTTTGACCAGGTTAACAACTTGGTGGGTGTGCTTTCGATGGGAATCAGTCTCTAGTCTATCTGGCGAAACGTTTCCCCGCTTATGATAGATCAAGACGCTCCAGATCAACTTCCATATTTATTTCTTGTGACTCTATCCTTACTGGCCACGGAACATTTTCTTCGGCTTCGTGTACCTCGCAGATCGAACAGAGTTTGTCTACTTCGTGAACGCTGTCTCTCTCTTTTTTTTCCCCTTCCTTTCTTTACTGTGGCCGTCTTACTTTTGCATGCCCTCGCTATATGCCCTTTCATCTGGCATTTGTTGCAGACGGTGTCTTCAAATTTGCACAGAAAAAATTTGTGCTTAACGGTGCAACGGTGGCAGTTTCCGC